AATGCAAAGCTTAAAGACACACAAGGTGCATGTTTAATACTGATAAAATGAATGTCCTATATGAATATAAATGTCATTTTATTACTTAATTATATATGCATTAGTTTCTCTTAATGAGAACTAGGGAGATGGTAAATTCTATAAAACATTTAGAAATATTTTTGGTCATGTATTACGTCACATACATATTATAATTATACTAACTATCTTGAAATGACTTATGGTCTTTTTAATTTTTTTAAGGTTTTAGGCAGTTTTACTATGGGGTGTATGCACTCACTGGAGAAACAGAGAGGGAGAACGTGAGAAATCACCCTGCAGTTAGTATGGCCACACCACAATCCCTTCTCTTCCATTCTCCTCTTGGGATGTGTGTGGACATGCACACACACACCTGGCGTGAGTTTCAAGCTGGCAGATCTGGGACTTAAACCACACCCAGTTACGTGGGAATCTACCACATTAACCTCCATTCCACCTGCTGGCCCCTTTTCTGGTGTTTTCCCATTAATTGTTCACGGATATAACACTATTATTTATAGGTATGTTAGTAAAAAGTACTAGCTCTCTATTTAATAAAACTCACATTTAAAGTCAATAAGACAAATGGAAATTGTTCTGATTAAAGAGAATAAGTCTAAGCTGCCTCTATGGGAAGAGTGCTAATACTCAAGGGAAATCAAATTTCACATGAAGACTGTGATTCTAATTCCTTTCAGTCGATTTGAAACAAACAGGGCACTCCCAGCAGTGTTCATGAGCCAAATACCTGGACAGCTAGAGGAAGAGTGGCTTGACCAGACTCTGTGGAGAGTTCTCATATTTCTCTCTTTCTCTCCCTTTCATTTTTAAAATTTTCTTTCTTTTCTTTCTTTTTTAATTGTTTGTAGGAGGGTTTGTACATTTGCCACGGAGACAAAGACAAATAGCTAGATATAGAAAGCACTCCATCAATCATGAGTAGACACATCTCCATCCCTTCTCCTCCATTTCTCATTTCATGTGTACTTTGGGCATGATCACACATAAATGTAGTATGTTTCTCAAGCCATCAAGGGCAAGACTCAAACTGAATGGTAGGTCATGTGGGGTTTGGTTTCCTTAAATTCTAAGCCAAAGGACCAGCACTCTCTCTCTAGTTCTCACTTATTCTTACACACTCCGTCATGTCATGAATCAATGAAGTGAACAATGCATAGTGAATTGATTTGGCCTAATGCATTCGATTTTCTTCCTATCACATTCAGTTTTTCCTCAATGAAAAAAATCTAAAAATGTGTAAGCTTGCTATGCAATTGAAGGAATAATTAGGATTTGAAATAGTCAAATGAAATGAAAACTATAATTTTTACAGTAGTATCCCAGCTTAGCCTACACTGCTATCAGATAGCATCTTTGGGAGCCAAACTCAAGACCCAGAATGACAGTCTGGAGCAGTTGGAATTTATAGCCCCCCCCCCTTATGCATATGACATCCATTCCAGGAATATTATTATGAACACACTTATCCATTTAAACACTATATTTATATAATCATATCAAATAGCATTTGTCTTTTGTCAAACATACATACAACACAAACTAAATATTATTTGTCATGTATCTGAAAATCAAATGAAATCGTATCTCTTATTTTACCTGAAAATTCTACTCTTAATAGATTCTATTTTCGGGACCAGCCGTTAGTGTAATGGCTATGTCGCTGGACTTGTAGTTGAGTGCGGTCCGAGTCCCGGACCCAGTGGCTTAAACTCACGCCGGGCACATGTGTGTGCGTGCCCAAGATCCCAAGAGGAGAATGGAGGAGAAGGGATTGTGGCATGGCCATCCCCCCTAGGGAGTGATTTCTTGCTTTCTGTCTCTTTGTCTCTCTCTGTCTGGAAAGTGCATGCTCCCTATAGCAAAAACCTCTCAAAAAAATAGATTCTATTTTAATACATGAAAAATTTCAAAAGTATCATGGGGAATTGAATTAAAGTATAAGTTTATTTTGTGTAAAGTGATTTTAAAATCTATGCATAGGCTTTTTTCATAATAAGCATCTTCCTTGACTTATTGGAGACTCTTGGTATAAGACTGAAAATTTAAGGGTTTTAGACTTTTCTCTTCACTTGCAATATCTAAAAGCCACATTCAACTCTTACGAATCCATTCGAATATTTAATTTAGTGCCCTAAAACCAAATTTCTAATCCAGAGAATTCCAGTTAATGAAGATGATACTGATTTTTTGGGGTCTCTTTGAAGAAATCAGTGGTCAGTCACCATAAGAATGTTTGTATTAAGAATGTGGGAATTATGAGAAATCAACTAGCCCAGATGGTTCTATAAATCATTAAAAATTCTTTTCCACTTACCTTTAATGAAAAGTGAGATTTTTTCTTTTCTTATATTACTTATACATTTTCTCTCAATTGGAAGAATTTATGTTTTCCTCTCTCTGTGACACTCCCTGAAGTAATAACATGCAATTAATTCAGGTAATTATTTCTGCATCATCCGAGAGACTGAAATACTGCCTTGATGACATGTTGCATAATCCCCAGTGAGAAAATTAGGAACAACTCAAGGAAAGGAAAAAACTGATCTGATCATTTGGGGAGAACCAAATGATTGAAGAAATTGTTCACTCAGTTTCACAGAGTCATATACTTAGCATTGGAAATAATTTGATACTTCCTTTAACTTTGTACAATTTAAACAGTTTGGGTTATGATTAAGTATGTGGGGCATTTTCCCTTTGAGTTTGCTTTTTAAATTAAAGCACAGAGTAGACCCTAAGATAAAAATATGTCACATAGCCGCTACTTTTTAGATGTTTATTATCATTACCACATGGAGTAAACATAAGCTCAGATGAAGTATGTATTTTTTGAAGTTATATGATTGGTAACTATATAAAATACTTCAGAGTAAAAGCACATCTTTAATGAGTGATAAATAAACTTTAATTTTTCATTTAGTGAACATGTAGTAATTACTGTAATTCAAAGTGTTATTAAAATGTCTATCGAACTGTAATATTTCTTAAGCTGTGATCTCACCTCTTTCAGATAATGTTCAGTGAAACACTACTGAGAGCAAATTTTACTAAAAGAGATTCCACACAGTCTGTTAATCATATTTTATCCATTCATTTTTCTTGACCTTCATGTGTAAAAGTATTAAGGGAAATTTACACAGTAAAACTTGGAGTTTAACTGAACACAATGCTGAGTTTTGCACAAAATGTATTATTTATAGTTAATATCTAACTTAAGATATATAACATCTTCCACATGAAAGAAAGTTTTCTCATGCTTTATATTATGCACACTCTAGTTTCATCATAAGAAAATTTTCTTCTTTCCTGAACTCTCCAAGTATATCCTCTCTTTCAGATATGGCTACTGTTTTGAATTCTACTTCTAGACTTATTTCCCTTCCTTCTTAGTTTCATATATGTGAAATATCACAACATATACCTTGAATCTTCCTTCTTTCACTTAGCTATTACTTTACAAATTCATTAATGTTGTTTGTATTGTTGCATGATATCCCATTGCAAGAATGTTTCAAGATCCTCTAGTCATTCTCCTTACAATGGAAATTTTATTTTTATGACCAGCAGGTGGTGGAATGGCTATGGCACTCTACGACACTGGATTTCCATGTAGTCGACCACTGTTTGAGTCCCAGACCTGGTGGCTTAAATTCACACCGGGCACGAGTGCATGTGTTCCCAAGATCCCAAGAGGGATCTCAAATAAACAAAACCTGCATTTACCAACAGTAGACCAGGTCTCTAAGAAATTCTGAAGGGAGTGCTATACCAGGAAAGCTAAAGACAGAGAGACAGAAATAAGAGAAGAAAAATAATGACCAAGAAAATGCCCAACTTAATGGTAGGGACAAGTTTGGAAGTAACAATAATAATGTTGAATGTTTACATCCAGGATTTAAATGGAAAGATCAAACCACAGTAACACTGCAAATTCAATGAAAAGAGATCATATAAGATTGAACTGACTGAACAGAATTTTATGACTTTTGACTAAAACATTACTGATTTTCTTCTATGCTTATTCTTCATGATTTAAGGATTTTTGTTTTCTTTGGAATTGTTCATAGGTTCAGAAATCTGTTTTTTTCTTAATAGAAACATAAATTTTTCTCTCTACCTGACCCCTCTGCAATTGGAAAATATTGTGAGCATTCTTATTTTGTGGCAAAATGGTTATTTGCAGAAGTTCAGTAATACAATAGTATCTGTTGCCTTGCATCAGAAATTGAATTCTTGTGGGCTTTGTGCAAATAACACATCAGATTGAGACTATTCTAATTCTTCTTTTTTTTTTTCAAAAAAAGTTATTTTATACTTCTATTTAGTAAAAGAGGGTTGGAGAGAGAGAAAAAATGGTTTCAGAAGAAAATTACAGTTGCACTTGTCACTGGATTTTAGCTTTGTCCATATTTTACTTTAAGATCTTTGTGAATCAAACAAAATGTGAAAAAAAAAAAAAACGTTTTGTATGGAAGAGAGGGAGGAGAAAGGGGGAAGAAATAAAAAGTAAATGTAGGTTTAAATGATAAAAAAGCAGAAGCCAAATAGCTGATGATAATGTATATAGTAATATCTTTGTCTTGACTCTCTTGACTGGTATGCATGGTATTTGTGCTGGAAAAAGAAATGTTGCACACTGTAAAGATATATGCGATTAAATGTAAATAAATAAAAAATATGGAAATAAATAAAGTTAATAAAAACTAAAAAGTGATTGAAGACCTAAATATAAAGCCACAAACTATAATATTTAAATTGCAAGATACTGGAGATTTTAAAAAGAAAACCTATACAATTAGTGACATCCTGTCATTTGACACAAAGTGGATGAATCCAAAAGGATCAAAGTAAAATAAGTCAGAATATGAAAGATAGTTACTATTTATCTCTTCTAAACATATCTTGAGTATCTGCACTCTATGGTGGCAACTGAAGGACTCAAATGTTATAGACTTAGAGACAACAATGGCAGATAACGAAGAGCACGGCATGGGTGGGGACAGATTAGGGGGAAAATGATGAACAGACATGAGAATACATGGAAATAAGATGAACAGGTTATAGGATATTGCCAATTTAATACACAGCTCTAGAAAATAACTAATAGAATGAATACTGAACAGGCAAAATGTAATGCAATTTTGTTCAAGATGGTTAATCTGTTTCTACCATTGATTTATCACACACTATATGATTGTTTTAAAAGACATAGAGGACCCCATAAAATGTACAATTATATACAAATTAAAATATATAATACTCAAAGAAGAAAAAAATGATTAGAAACTATTTATGCAAAACAAATGAAAACATCAGAAAGATACATGTATTTCACTCTTGCAGAATTTAGTAAGTGTTCCAACAGGTATAAACATGAGTCTTTATGAAATCACACAAGGGAACACTGAAGCATAGACAAGAATGCTGGGGAAGAAGTGACCTTTAATTAAAGTTTAAAATATGAGAGTTAATTTGGCTGAATATAAGAAAAGCCACTGATTTGTGATTATGTTATTACTCTTTTTCTGAAGCCAAAAAGGATACAGGATACAAATTTGTGTGTGTGTGTGTGTGTGTGTATAAAACATTACAAAAACATTTGCTTATTACATATAATAATATAATAACAAGGCATATTAATTACTCAATAAAAAAAGGTCATTGATGCCTAAAGACCCTAAAGAAGGCACTTTTAACTTCTTTGTTTCTCAAGCTGTATATCAAGGGATTAAGCATGGGGATCACTAATGTATAAAACACAGAGGCCATTTTATCTGTATCATAGGAGTGAGTGGATTTGGGCTGCAAGTACATAAAGAGTAGAGCCCCATAGAACACAGCTACTGCTGTGAGATGAGAACCACAAGTGGAAAAAGCCTTTTTTCTCCCTTCTGCAGAATGCATTTGAAATATGGCTAACAAAATTAGTATGTAAGATACCAGGACCACCAGCAGGGAGGAGATCAAATTAAATGCTGAAAATAAAATGACCAGTAATTCTATTTCTTGTGCATTTGAGCAGAGCATAGGTAACAAGGGAACAACATCACAGTAGAAATGGCTAATGACATTACAGCCACAAAAGGTCAAAGTAAAAATCTTAGTAGTGAACATCAGAGCCTGCAAGGCACCATAGAGGTAGGGAATACCCACCAGCATATGACAAAGTCTCTGAGACATAAAAACATTGTATAATAGAGGATCACAGATGGCCACAAAGCGGTCATAGGCCATGGCCGACAAAATGAACAATTCGCTCACAATGAAGATCATGAAGAAAGCCATCTGTGTGGCACACGTGTAATGGAAAATGATGTTCTTTTCCACGACAAAATTTACCAACATCTTGGGACAAATGACAGTGGAATTGCCAAGGTCAACAAAAGCCAAGTGTTTAATAAAAAAGTACATAGGTGTGTGGAGGCGGGAGTCCAGCTTGGTCAAAATTATCATGCCCAGGTTGCCCAGTACTGTGATTGTGTAGATGATGAGGAAGACCCCAAAAAGGGGAAGCTGCCATTCAGGCTGCCGTGTGACTCCCATCAGAATGAATTCAGTAGACACCGTGAGGTTGGATTGGCACATTTGGCTCAATTACACCTTCTGGGAGAAAAATAGAGAAGTGGTTATAAGCTTTAGTTTGGATTAATTCAAATATATTTAAAAAAACTTTCAGATTGAAGTACCACTTTTATTCATAATAGGGAATAAATAACACAATCCCACTCCTTGATATCTACCGAAAGGACAGAATACTTAATCAGAAAAGTGCTTGCACATCGATGATTATTGCGGCACTATTCACAATTGCTAAGTCATGGAAACAACCCAAATGCCAACTAACAGATGAATGGATGGAAAAACTGTGGCACATATACTCAATGGAATACTATTCAGCCATAAAAAACCCCAAAACTCTGGCTTTTGACAGAAAGTAGATGAATATGGAAGATTTACTGCTGAGTGAAGCAAACCAGGCTATGAAGGAGAGGCATTGTATGTCCCCACTTAATATATACCATATGTCAGCACTCTATGACAGAAACTAATTGACTAAAGGATATAGAAACACAGTATATAGATGTAAATATCAGATATAGTGTGTATGAAAGAGGAGGGTCTGAGGAAGGACATTAAGAAGAAAAATAGGAAGGCAAGGCATTAATGGCACAAAAAAAATGTGGTATTAGTTGTGGAAGATATTTTGTAGTTTTATCAACTGTACTAGGGAGAAATATTCACCTGTTGAAATATCCATTTTGTAAGCCAAATAATAATGTGATTGAATGTATAAAAGAAAATGAAATGAAAAAAATAAAAAAGATAATAAAAGAATATATGATTTAAAATATATAATAACAAAAAATAAATAATATGATTTAAAATACATAATAGTAATATAATAATAAATAATATTTTAAAACTAATATATTATAAATAATAGAATCTTATCTTTTCCCTAATGAGGGAATAATATGAAATAAAAATATACATGTGACAAAATAAACTCTTAATATAATCAGGAATTTTGGAGCACATTTGGTGATAACAAATCCATATAGGGAAAATGTTAAATTTTGTTTCATCTACACAGTGGCATCCCAGTTTACTCACACAGCTCAACTAATATATTATAAATAATAGAATCTTATCTTTTCCCTAATGAGGGAATAATATGAAATAAAAATATACATGTGACAAAATAAACTCTTAATATAATCAGGAATTTTGGAGCACATTTGGTGATAACAAATCCATATAGGGAAAATGTTAAATTTTGTTTCATCTACACAGTGGCATCCCAGTTTACTCACACAGCTCTATTTTTATCTGAGAATTCCTATATTCTTGCCTATTTAAAATTTATTGTACTTTTTCCAGGAGAGAGGGAGAAAAAGACAGAACAGAAGGAGACAGAGAGGGACAAAGAGACTGAGAGGAAGATACATGCATTCTTATCAGGGTTCTCAAGTACCAATTCACCACTAGCTTGAGTCACCAAGATCATGTGCACATTTGCATCCCTGAGTATGTACAAGATTTCCAAATGGGAGCCTGGAACCTTCCAATGTGGTCCAGCATCAAAGACAGCTGCATTTCCACTATAGCTGTTCATTTTAATATTCTTAAAGATATAGGTAAAGATATTATGAAGTGAAAAAGCTTTTATTTAATTTCTCATTTGACCAATATATAGTGTATTCACAATGGAAAAAATCATTTGGTATATTTGAATGATACACAGTGATTAAACATATAAAATTAAAAATTAATTTAATTTTAAAATACATAAATAAAGTGAAAATAGAATTAATGTATAAATTTATTTCAGAAAAGTACTATTATAAAACCCAGAAAGAGTTCTTTTAAAACAATAAGTATTTTTCATTAAACATTAAGAATCCAAGATTCATGAGAAAGGATTAAACACAGGTAGTCATATAAATTATTAAAAAATCTTATACACTCACCATCAATGAAAGATGATTTTTCTTTCCTAAATTACTCATACTTTTTCTCTGGATAGGCAGAATTTATGGTCTTCTTCCCTCTTTGTGATGTTCCCTGAGGTAGTAGCATATAATTAATTGCAATAATTGTAGCTACATCATCTGAAAGACTTAAAATTGCCTTGATGATATTCTAAATATTCCCTAGTGAAGAAGTTAGGTATAACTCAGGGAAAGAAACAAAACAGCATAAATGATCTGAACGTCTCGTAGAAACTGGTATGATTCTAATTACTATTCATGTAACAATACAGAGTGAAATATTAACCTAACCATGGAAAATAAATTGACACTAGCTTTAATCCAGTAATAGAAAAACAGTTCAAAATTCATGAAGAAATTTTACTTTACATTATCATCATGACATAGGAAATTTTTTCAATTTTTTAAAACTGAAATATGGTACAAACACTACAATAAAAATATATAATTTATCCACAAATATGAGATATATATCACTATTTCCATATTGAATGCACATGAAGCTCAGATAAACTATGTAATTATTTTTAAGTCACATATTTTGTATCTAAACAATTTGAAATTAAACCTCAACTCTAAGTGAGTAATACACACACACACACACACACACACACACACACACACACATCATATTCTTACATTTGCAAATCTGTGACAATGGTTATAATTCAAAGTGTTATTGCAATGTCTACCCAACTTTTTATTTTATCAGCTGTGATCTCACCTATGTTGGCTAATATTCAGTACAACAGTATTGAGAGTAAGATCTACTAAAAGATAGCACACCCCCATCCTTCAAAATTGCATCCACTGGGCCAGTACATGACATGATGGTTAAGGTATCAGACAACCACATGAAGCGAAAAAGCTTTTATTTAATTTCACATTTGACCAATTTACAGTGTATTCACAATGGGAAAACTCATTTGGTATACTCTAATGATACACAATGATTAAACATATAAAATTAAAAATTAATTTAATTTAACTTAAAATACATAAATAACATGAAAATAGAATTAATGTATAACTTTATTTAAGAACCGTACTATTATAAAATCCATAAATAGTTCTTTTAAAAGAATAAGTATTTTTCATTAAACATTAAGAATCCAAGATTCATGAGAAAGGATTAAACACAGGTAGTCGTAAAAATTATTAACACATCTTAAACACTCACCATCAATGCAAGATGAAACCACCTACTGTGGTTTGAGTAGTGGACCCGGTGTCTTGAAACATGCCAGGAATCTGCGTGTGCATGCCCTAATTCCCAGGAGTATAATGGAGGAGAAAGGATTGTAGTGTTGTCATCCTCCCGGATGGGTGATTTCTCAACTTTTATCTCACTGTCTCTCTCTGCCTCTCTCCAGAGAGTGCATGCACCTTATGGAAAAAAAAAAAAAAAAACAAATGAAAAAGAAATACAGCCGTTTATTTTCCTCTATGACTTTAATATTTAAATGAATTTGGGGAAACTGTTAGATTTAAAAAGAGAGATAAACTGCAACGCACAAATTGTTGGAGACCTCAACACTCCACTATCTACCCCGGACAGAACATCTAAAAAAAAAAAAAAAAGAAAAAGAAAAGAACAGCAAAGAAAAGAGATAAAGGACCTAAATGATGCCATAAAGCAACAGGACTTAACAGACATCCATAGAAACTTTCACCTCCAAACCATGAGATACGCTTTTTTCTCACCTCCACATGGAACCTTTTTGAAGATTGACCACATGATAGGGCACAAAGCAAGCCTTTACCGATTCAAAGGCATAGAAACTGTATCCAGCATCTTCTCTGACCATGATAGAATTAAATTTGATTTTAATTTCAAGAAAAATCCTCAAAAATACACAAATACATGGAAACTAACTTACCCTGAATGACTTCACAACTACTAAAGAAATTAAGGCTGAAATCAAAACATTCATAGAAGTCAATGACAACGAGGAAATTAGTTTCCATAATCTTTGGGACACTGCAAAAGCAGTCATAAGAGGGAAGTTCATAGCAATTAGTGATCATAAGAAGAGAGAAAGAAGGAAAATGGACCACCTAACATCATGCTCAAAAAACCAGAAAAACGGAATAAGCAGTTAGCGTAATGGCTATGTCGCTGGACTCCCATGTAGTCGACTGCTGTTCGTGTCCTGGATCTGATGGCTTAAAACGTGTGCGTGCATGCCCAAGATCCCGAGAGGAGAATGGAGGAGAAGGGATTGCGGCATGGCCATCCCTCCTGGGGCATGATTTCTCGCTTTCTGTCTCTCTGTCTCTCTCTCTCTGTCTTTCTGGCGAGTGCATGCGCCTGAAAACAAAACAAACCAAACAACAACAAAAAAAACTCTCAAAAAAAAATCGGAAGAAAACAGCAAAAAATCCAAAAACTTCAGGAGAAAAGAAAAATAAAGATCTGATCAACAGGGTGTTGTGTTGTTTATACTTCATTACTCCTTCAGGACATGGACTTAACCCACTTGACTATTGTGTCTGTAAAGCACTTACTTGAAAAAAAATAAAGAATATCATTCCACTTACTACAAAGTAGACACAATCACACCAGAGGAATGTTCAGAGTTTACAAAAACAGATACTGAAAGAAATTTAACATGAAATATATGAACTTCTGAAACAGATGATCAAGAAAATAAGCTGGTTAAAAAGATAAAGGGCGGACTCTCACATGGCTACCTGTAGCTTGAATCCTGGACCCAGAATTCTGTGTGCATGTGTGTGTATATGTCCCAAATCCCAGGAGGACAAGGGAAGAAAAGGGACTGTGGTGTGGCCTTTCCCCTATGGGGGGGGAGGGTCGATGATTTCTCATTTTCCCTCTCACTGACTATACAAATGCAGGCACCTATGGCAAAAACCTTTTAAAAAATACAAAGGACCTTTTATCTCTTGCTCTAATAGGTAGTGATACAATGATTGAAGTCAATGGCAAAAGGGTTAGAGGAAGGCAGTATCCTTAACTGTTGCTGAAGTTGAAAATAGTGAACATTGTAATTTTACAATTATAACAAATATGTTGATAAGAACACACATGCAGGACTTGAAAGATGTGACCAATAGTGTACACTGTGAGAG